GGCGGCGGCCGTCGAGGCCACGGCCGCGGCGGCCGAGACGGATTCCGCGGAGCCGGAGGCGGTCCTGGGACGCTCGCTGGGCGGCTCGGCCACCTCGCTGTGCCTGCTGCCGTCCGAGGAGACCTCGGGGGAGGAGTCTTGGGGCGCGGCGGGCCCTCGGAGGAGCCGATCCGGGGCCCTGGGGCCGCCAGCTTCGGCGCCCCCCACGCTAGCTCTGGTTCCCGGGGGGGCGCCGGCCCGGCCGAGGCCGCAGCAGCGCTATTCGTTCGACGGGGACTACGGGGCGCTCTTCCAGAGCCACAGTTACCCGCGCCGCGCCCGGCGGACAAAGCGCCACCGGTCCACGCCGCATCTGGACGGGGCCGGCGGGGGCGCGGCCGGGGAGGACGGAGACCTGGGGCTGGGCTCCGCCAGGGCGCGCCTGGCCTTCACCAGCACCGAGTGGATGCTGGAGAGCACCGTGTGACGCCGGGCGGACGAGGGGCAGAGCGCAGCGCCCGGACGGCGGACGGCGCCTCCTGGAGGGGCGGGGCTGCCTCCGGCGGCGGCCCGAGGCCGCGCCCCGCGCCCGGGGGGTGGCGGCGCCGGCTCCCCTCCCCCGCGGACCCCCCGCCCCTCCTGCCCCTCCCCCCGCGCGCTCGCGGACCTCGCTGGAGCCGGTGCCTTACACAGCGAAGCGCGGGGAGGGGCAGGGCCCCCCGACACTGCAGCACTGAGACACGAGCCCCCTCCCCCCGCCCGGACCCGGGGCAGGGGCGAGGGGCCCATTTCTTGTATCTGGCTGGACTAGATCCTGTTCTGTCCCGCGGCGGCCTCCAAAGCCCCCAGTCCCGCCCCACTCACCTACCAGGTCCCGTCGGGCCTGGCTTGGGGTCCCCCTTTCTCTGTTCTCCTCGTTTGTCTCTGTCCCCCACTCTGTCATCCGTGTCTTCCGTGTCTGTCCTCCCCTATTTGTCTCTCCGTTCTCTCTCCTGTCGTCTCTCCCTCTGCCCTCCCCTATTTCGTCCAGTCTCCCTGTCTCTCCCCCCTACACATTCTCCCGGGCAGGTCCCACTGGAAGGACCAGACTCTCCCCTATTCCTTCCTCTTCCCCAAATAAATCCTCACAAGAACAAAATCCAAAACCAAATCCTCCTCCCTCCCGGAGCCGGGACCCTCCGCCGCAGCAGAATTAAACTTTTTTCTGTGTCTGAGGCCGCTCTGCTGACCTCTGTGTGTGTCCCTGTGTCTCGGGGGCGGGGGGGGGGCGGGGGGGGTGACCCAGATCACAGCATAAGGACTAAGTGAGACTGAAAGACGGGTGGCCGACTGGGCCCAGGAAGACTTGCAGTTTCCTATGGGAGAGACTTAGAGGTGGGGAATAATACAAATAAAATGATAATAGCTAACCTCTAGTGAGTGGTTCCTATGTGCCAGGCACGTTAAGTCATTTAATCCTCACGACCACCCTAGGACCTTAGTACTCTTATCCTGTTTTGCAGATGAGGAAAATAGAGGCACAGAAAAGTTAAGTCACTTGCCCAAAATCACATAACCAGAAGGTGGCAAAATGGGCATTTAAAAGGCAGGCCGCCTGCCTTCTGAGTCTGTAATCGTAACCACAGAACTTACCTCTACTGGGGAGCAGTTAGCAGATGTTGGTTCCACACACAGGTGGTGCTAAGCACAGCTCACCTCTGAGGCTGGACAACTTGGGTCTCATTTTACAGAGAGGAATCTGAACCATGGAGAAGCCAAGTCACTGGCCCAAGGCCCCCCTGGGAAGGACTAGGGGAGCTGGCAGTTTGACCTCAGAATGGTCCCTCACCCCTACACTATGTTGCCCCTAGCATTTGTGTCTGGAGGCTGGGGAGTGGCCCCAGTGACCTTACTTAGCTGGGCACGGGTATCCAAGGGCAGGCTGGTGGAGGAGGGAACGAGGAAAGAGCTCATTGGTCCCTCTGTCTGGAATCTGAGGGATCCTAGTGAGGAAGGAGTTGGGGGGTGGTGCAGAGGATGGTTTGGGGAGGGGAGTTTCTCAGGTGAGGCTGAGGGCTGTGGCTGAGGAAGGGAAGTTGGTGGCGGGGGGCACCCCAGCCCTTTGCAGAGGGTGCCCTGCAATGAACACTTATTCCTGATCCTGGGGAAGAAAGAAGGAGGCTTCTTGCCAGCCAGGGGCCCCCTGAGGCCTGGGGAGGAGGAGAGAAAGACAGAAATAGAAGCAGAGCAGGAGGGAGGGGGATGGATCTGGGCAGACAGGGTGGGAGGCGCAACGACAGAGGCACCAGAGAATCGCAGGCCGGGAGGCTTCCTCCCTCGGTGGCCCAGCCACGCGTATGCATCTCGGGCCTCACGACTCCCGGGTATGGAGGGCTTCCCACGTGCCGGGCACTGTGCTCACCAACCCTCCCTGAGGCGTGAGTAGAGAGCGTGCAGCCCAGCACCTGGCACCCAACGCTCACAAGATGGAGTTACTCGGATAGTAAGCGTGATCCCATTTATACTCTGCAACAGACGTGTAGTGTGTGCACCCACTCTTCTAGAGGAAGAAACTGAAGTTCAGAGAGGTTAAGGAGCTAGCCCCAAATCAGACAGCCAGTAAAGGGCAGAGCCATGATTGGAAAGTTTATTGCCTCCAAATCCTGCACACCTAACCATCTGACTGTATCATCTCTGCTTCGCCTGAAAAAGCTTTACCGAGCATGTTCTGTGTACCTGGCCCTGTGCAAGGAATACATCGGTAAACGAATAGACAAATAAACAAAACAAAGTAAAAAACCCCTGCCCCGTGGAGCTTATATTCTAGAGAGGGAGACACTAAAAAAGCAAGTAGATAATGAGTTTCTGGTGGCAAATGAGCCATGTAAAGAATGAAAACAGGGTGATGGGACAGGGCATGACTGTGAGGCCTACTTTAGATTACGGGGTCAAGGAAGCTTGGAGCTGGAGAAATGCATTGTGGGGAGAGCCAGGGAAAAGCATTCCTGGCAAAGAGACTAGCATGTGCAAAGGCCCTGAGACAGGAGTGTGGTTGGTGTGTTGGAGGCAGTGTGTCTGGCCTGGAGTGAGGGGGAGTGAGAGGAGAGCAGGTGGGAGAGGCAAGCAGGGAGCAGATTCTGCAGAGCCTTGTGGACTGTAGTCAAGAGTCAAGATTTTATTTTCAGAGCAATGGGAAGCCAATGGAGGGTTTTCAGAAGGGGTGGTATATGGTCTGATTTCCGTGGAGACCCCAACTTCGGAACAGGGTGTGCCTTCAAAACAAAATGAGGAACGGCCATCTCGAAACTTGGCATCCACCCCTCATATGTGGGGACCACATGGTCCCTGGGTCAGCCGTTTGGATGACACCCACCATCCTCCTTCCCCCGTAACCCCCTGGTCCTTCATTTAATAGAGAAGTATACATCAATGCCAATGACATGCTTGTCTTTTTCAAAGTCGAGAGCGTTAAACCCAAGGAACAGGCACACTGGGTGAGAGAGGGCATGGTATCTTCCAAGGTGAGTGTTGGAGCATCTGCTCTCTGCCTGGCCTGTGCCAGGCACTGGGTAGCCAGCAGTGACCAGGACAGACCCAACCCCTGCCCTCTTGGAGCTCAGACAGACAGATGGCAATAGGGCTGTGATGGGAGAAGCACAGGAGACTATGGAGGCCAGAGGAGCTGCCTGACTGCCCAGAGCTTCAGGGACACGTGTTAGTCAAAGTCTTGGTAGCAAGTGACAGAACCCAGCTTAACTAGGCACAAAAAGCTCGCTTTTGCTGGCTCATGTAGCTGGAAAGAAGACAAGGAAAAGTCACAAGGAACGTGACCTCAGAGACTGGAACCCACACCCCACTCCACCAAGACACTCTTGATCAAGCCTTGGCGTCTCCAAGCAGAGATTTGCAACCTTATTTCCATCACAGCACTCCTATTGAAGAGGGTCATATGCCTGAGCTCAGACATTTCCTATAGGATGCAAGGTTTTATTATCAAATATTAATTGACCACCTTCTCTGGGTTCTGTGCTGGGCATACAGAGGTGGTTTTGTGAGGATACATTTGGCTGCAAGAAACAGAAAACCCAATTAACATGACTTGAGACGTTTGATTGTCTCATTTGATAAAAGTCTAGAGATAGGGGGTTTGGGAGTTTGGTGCAATGGCTTATTGATATCTCCAATGACCCAGTTTCCTACCCTTTTGTTCTACTTTCCTTAGAAGGATAGCTTCATAGTCTAGGCTTGTTGCCTCATGGTCACAAAATGGCTGCCACAGCTGCAGGTCTCACTTCCTCATACCAATGAACTAAACAGGAAGGCAGGCAACAAATGGAAGAGTTTTCTTTGTGTCAGAGAAGAAAAAAATTCTAAAATAATAAGAGAAATAGCAGTAAACATACATATTGGGCTTAACCTGTGCCAAGAACTGTTTTAAATTCTTTATATAAATTACTTCATTTAAGAAACCCTGTAGTCGTATGGCCACTCCAAACTGTAGGGGAGTCTGGGGAAGCAGGTGTCAGGCAAGGGGGAAAGAAATTCATGCCCTGGGCTGGGCACCTTGCTGCCCCCACCCAAACTCGGGTTTTGTCACTCAGAAACCATTTAATGCAGTGGGAGTGGCTGTGGGGTTGTGTGTGATTTCTAGTGTATGGCTGTATTCCAGCCCTTTGTCTCCTAATTGAGAAAACAGTGGAGAATGCAAAAGAGTGAGCATTATAGGATTATGGGGATGATTCTGGAATGATCGTGTGTAATGTGACAAAAACTCAACCATTCAGAAACTTCGGTGGGTTCCTCTTCAGTGATATGTTTCTTGGGACGTACCTCACAATGGATTGTGATGGGCTGGTGGCTCTCATGCTGTTCCAATGATCTACTGCCTCCTAAAAAACCAAACGTAGTGGCATAAAACAAAAATTATTTTGTTATGCTCCCAGATTCTGTGGCTCAGGAATTTGATCACGGCACAGTGGGGATGGGGGACAGCCTGTCTCTACCCCAGCTGGGAGCTGGATCATCTGGACGCTCCTTTGCTCACACATCTGGATGCAGAGTTGGGAGGACTGCAAAACTGAGCTCAGCTGGGATTGTCACCTGGAGTATGTACCTGCGGCCTCTCCACGTGGTTTGGGCTTCTTGCAATGTGGCAGTTGGGTTCCAAGAAAGAGAGTTTGAGAATGTGTGTTCTGAGAGAGCCAGGAGGACTTGGCATTGGAAGTCATAGTGCTTGACTTCCACGGCACTCTTGGTGGAAGAAGTCACAAGTCCAAGTTCAAGGAGAGGGGAACATTGCCCCCACCCCTCGACGGGAGGAACCTTGAAGAGTTTGTGGCCATTTTTTTTTTTTTTTTGGTGAGGAGGATTAGCCCTGAGCTAACATCCATGCCCATCTTTCCTCTATTTTGTATGTGGGTCGCTGCCACAGTGTGGCTTGATGAGTGGTGTAGGTCCGCGCCCAGGATCCGAACCCTTGAATCTAGGCTGCAGAAGCAGAACGCACAGAACTTGA